ACGGATGCTGTTGCTTTCTTTAATTAGCTTTCCCATTTCAATACCATTAAAAAAGTTACATTTTGTACTTTCGCATTAATGAGAATAATAGTGAAGTTGTAGGGGTGGTAATTTTGCTTGAATAATATAATAAAAACCATTGCAATAAATGATTGTAATTAATATGGGCAAAAGTAAATAAGTATAAAAAACAAGAGGTGCCAAAAATTAATGTTATTTATTGGATAACCTACAGTTAACTGCTATTAAATAATGAAGAGCGATTTGTGAAGGTGTGTTTCATTCTATAATAACATAATCTTTCGTTCCGCCGATAAAAAGTATCTACCTACCTATCTCTACCAACAAGAAAGTAACATTTTTTATGCAAATTTTGTCAATGATCATATTAGCAATGATGATAGCCAGCAATTTTTTCATTTACAGATATTAAGTACTATTTGTAAAAATTTAATACATTTAAAATATTGAAATCATTTTTGCTTGGTTCATAATTTCAAATGAATTCAAAAACTCATGTCCCTTTAATTGAAAATTTTGATAACACTGATCCAGAAGTAACCAAATCTAGTACTGCGAATAGTTTCTGACTGTTTTAAGTACAAATATTTAAACTACTAAAAAATTTTTAAAATTAAAATACCGAAATTGGTATTTAATTGTTATCATCAACAAGAAGTTGAACAGCAGTGGTGAATTCTTTATATGAACTACCTCCTGGTAGAACATCTAAAGTTACCGACTTTCTGGTTTGAAATTATTGCGCCAAATGTTTTATTTTGCAATAATTGGAAGCAAAAAAAGCATGCAGCATAATTATTGAAATATTAATTTGTGTGAAAAATAAACACCTCTTATCAAACTTAGATACATTTCTTTACATCATAACCAGTAAAAATAGTAATGATAATGAAGGCTATCAGTAAAATAATGCTGCTTCAGATACTGAATATGTCATGTGCTTTTTTTTCCTTTTTTAATTCCTAGTCCACCGTTTACATGTCGTAAAGTTGCATTCGTGCAATCTGAAACAGTCAGGAATAACTTTCAAATAATAACAGTATTGGTAGTAATGACGTTTGCAAAAATTAAAAATGCGCGCGATGAATAAGTGTTGTAAGAATGCCCAACAAAATTAAATAAGCAGCAACATTAAATAACAGCAATGAGTATAGAAAATAAATGTCATGAAACAATAACAATAATAATAATAATAATAATAATAATAATAATAATAATAGTAGTATTCATAATGATGCTTATTATTATTATTATTATTGCTATTTTTTACTATTCATATCACCATTATTTTTATAGGATAGAATAGAATAGAATAGAATAGTATGAAGAAGAGAACTTGTTATTATTAACATAGCATCGTCATGTCGTTAATGAAGGTAGGAGTAGTCGCAGTTTTGTAGCGAATTGAAGAAAAAAATTATTTATTTTTTAAAATTCCAACATTCCTTTTTACGTATATTATATTCATACAAAGTAATACTTACTTGGTTTATCTATTCATCTAAATGCCCATTTGTCTATTTGTTTAAAGATTGCTGCGCAAGTATTACATGAAACAGTAATACTGCTTAATATATCTATCTACGTTAAGAGCAATTATTCACGTGTAAAGATTACGTTATTTAGGCCCTATCTATCCTATTACTTACTTACTTTCCATATTTTTCAGTATAACTTCAGGAGCAGATGGCACTTGGGAAAAGGAGCGCAATCCATCCTCCATCCTCCATCCATCCATCCATCCATCCATCCATCCACTAACCCACCAATGCACACATTCATACATACACACACACATACATATACACACACATACACACACATATATGCTGCATATACTACATCACATACACATACACAGACACAGACACAGACTGAGAGTAGAGATGGGAGGCGGGTTTGCAATATAACTACAACTGAATCAATGTATTGATTGTGTGAAGTATAACGCTGAAAACAGCGAAATAAAATTTTGAATTTTAGGTCATTTGTATAAGTTAACCTGAATGCTTGCAATAAGTACCATTACTTGGCGGGATATATTATTATATGAAGAAGGATAGAATGCAACGGGCCGCATACAGCCCGTTGCATTCATTTCCTTCAATTCTAATTTATTCATTTTTAAAAATGAGAAAGAATTGCGAGAAAGCACACTGAACAAAGAAAGGGCAGAGTATTTGCTCCGATTGCGGAGGAAGTATGCGTTGCGGTTTCATTCAATTAAACACGCCATTATATGTATTGCTTGTTAGTTGAATCATTATGGCACTATTTCTTTTCTTTTTAGCACTATTTCATATGAGCGTAGACTCATCCGAGCCACTCATTCAATCCATCCGATACGATGCATTCTATATTTCCTTCCTCTTTTCTGTCAGTAAAAGAAAGGCACAAGTAGCAAGGGAATGTTTCCTCTATTTCTCTTCTCTACTATTTTCTTTCTCTGCTTTGTTAATTTCTTCATTCATCTATATCACTAGTATTCAATATTAATTGTAAAGAGAAAGTTTTTAGGTCAAAGGTCAAATAAATATCACAATTATATATCTAAATGAATAAAAATTTTTATTTTTTTTAACTTTTATTGTTTTTAAAAGTTTAAGTGTAATAGCTATTGAAAACAATTATTAAAAGATGACACGTACGCTTTTTTTTTCAACGTAACTTTTGTTAAATTGTTACTGCGTAATTGAATTCAAAACTTAGCATTTAACGTGTAGTTTTTGTGGTACAATAATTAATTATTGCTCTTTGTGAGATAGAGTGGTCTGTAAACAAATAGAAAATAATCAAAAGAAGTAATAATGCAAGAGTTTTTTGCTCATAGCATTACGCAAGGAAAAAGTGAGCAAAGAAACATCCCATAGTTTTAGCGAAATGCATATCAGTCAGCTCATTAAAATCTACACTTATATAAGCACGCGTTTGCATGTAATTTGACGTATGTATGTGTCTTTAATAATGTATGTTGCACATAAATGAGTATGTGTGACTGGCATAATAAAGTAGAAAGCATTACTATGAATGACCTCACGTGTTTTCTTAAATCTTAAATATTTAAAGCATTTTTGAACTTATTGTCTATCGTATTTCATTGGTATGGTATTGCGTCTATTGCAACTGTTTATACAAGTCTGGACAGCAATATTATTCATTACAGATTACTGTGAGTTTAATAGACTGTCCCCTACAAAAACAATCGCTCATTACCAATGGGCATTTTCCATTACCAAACATAACACACCAACTGTAAGGTCAGGTTCAATGTGCCATTAAGAGAACTAGAGAATGAATTAAATGCAATCGTACTAGATGACAAAGTTGGAAAAGAATATTCTGCTATTGATGGAAATTGGTTTTAAAGGAATGTAACAAAAACTGCTCATGAACTCAAAGTTTGAATCTCTGTTAAGGTCAGTTTACAAGTTCTAATCGAGCAGGAAAAAATATAATGGCTTACATGAACTACGGTCAGTTTCTGCATTATGAATATATGAAAGTCAGTTTTTTGTGTTATAAAATATCCCGTAACGTGTGTTTTGTATCACAAGCTAAATCTTCACAAGCTCTTCGATGTCTACGCTGACTCCCCCACATTGCAACTCTCTCCTAACCTGTTTTTGGCAGCAAGAGCATTTGCTTGACCTTACAGTTTACAGATAAGAAATTGAACTCAGTCACGGGAACAGCATGACTAAAGTGCTCTCTTCTCCATTACCCATAGTGATCATAAACACACTCCTCATTCTACAGATACCTCTTCCTATTAATTGCATATGCCCCATCCCCGCAATATAACAAGCTTAATTCTCCTCCAGCTATATGACACGAAAATTATCATTGTCCACATTACAACTAAACTAATAATTCTTCATCTCTTGATACGTTATCTGGAGAAAACTGGTGTGCTTAATGATTCTTTACGCACAAAAACAATGTCAGAAGAGAGCGCAGAGAATGTTACAATGTATTTATTAATGTACTTCCGTAAAGAAGATAAAAACTTCAAACAAATTTTAATAAACAACCACGTATCCAACAACAAATATTAAAATGTTAACGATATAGGATTTAAAAAACATTAGCATACACCAGAAATCTATTTCAAGTATTCATATTTGATTTTGTTATTTTCATCTTAAATTAAGAATCATTGATAGTAACTTCCACATCAACGCCCGGTTCAATCGAGATGCTCGTAATTTGCTTTAATACATCGCTCGGACTGTGCATATTGATCAGACGCTTATGTATCCGCATCTTAAGAACTTACTTTGAATAGAAACATTATAGAACTAATACAAAATGTCTTAAAATTTAATTGGAAAAAGTATGCTGAAAGAACTTAACATTCCAAACACTGAAAGATAATAAAGCAACAAACTTGAAAACGATCCCAAGTTTTTGAGCCTTCACCACACGGGGTCTTACGAGTTGTGATGCGGAGTATCTTTGTAGGCATGCGAATGGGTCCCTTCACAACAAGATTTTTTTCTTTTGCTCCATTAATAAGCTGTTCACAGACTAGAGTGTCATACATTACAAAATTTACAATGTTATGACATTGTAAAAATTATGAGAACTACTCATAACTTTTCAAGTTTTAACAAAACTATAAGGACCACCGCTTCATTATTTGAAGCTTCTAAGACGCTTTTTCTTAAAAATTTCAACACCGAGAGTTCTTACGCGAGTTCTGAACCCAGCTAGTGACACACACTTTTCATTTATTTTTTGATATCTTATCAATTTATTACTTGACAAATTTTAAATACCAGCAGGGACTGCATATTGAAAACCATCATCTGAATTAAAAAAGAAAGTCCAGCAAACATAAGAAACCTTTCTCTAATGAAGAGACGTTTTGAGACGTCAACGTGATACGAATACGATGCTCTGTATCATCAAGTGTGATAGGTTTTTCTGTCTTGTAAGGTAGGCCAGACTGAATAAAGCTGAATTATTATTATACATATCAGGCCTACGTCATTTATTTTTATTGAAGTATAAACAAAACTATAAATTAACCATTATTGGTGATAGGATGATTTCACTGATCAGATAATAATCTCGATTTGCTACTTCCTTTTACGCGCTTTTCTGTGTTCAATATCCAGAGCTGAAACGAAGTAACACAATATAAAATTTTAAAATACAGCTCAGTGATATCTGCACTTGCAAATGCAACGTGAAAATGATGTTCAAGTGCAAAAAAGTTATAAATCACCTACAACATGTTCATAAACGTAGTTAAAACTGAATCAGAAAAACGTTCAACGTGAGAATAAAATAACCAGCTATAGAATCGCAAAAAATGAACGAAAAAATTAGATTTAATAAATATCCAACATAATTTATGTGCAACAGACGTGAAGAACAAACTATCCCTTCCATAATTATTCAAAAAAAAAAGTTCATTCAACATATCATCACAAATTTTGATAGATTCCACATGTCAAGATTGGATCGATTTCCACATTAGATTACAAAAATTATCACGCAAACATGTGCAATAAACATTTCTATTTCAACTACACTACTATTCTACACTAGTAAGAATGCTCAGTAAACGCAATTAAAAAACCTTTCTTTAATGAAAACACGTTTCGAGATGTCAACGTGATACGAACATGATGCTCTACGATAATTTCAACCAAACAAGTATCCCAATAAAAACTGCAAAAATACTTCACTAACTACAATGTGGTAAAGAAGCAATTAAGGAACCTTTCTTTACTGAAGACACGTTTCGAGACGTCAACGTGACACGAACTCGATGCTCTACGATAATTTTGCAATTAAGTATCCCTATGAAAATTGCTAAAATATTTCACTAATTACAGTATAGTAAGGAACCAATTAAGATTTGCAAAGTAGATTGCAGCAGAAAATTTTTATATTTTTATTTTGTTTGAAGAAAATATATTCACATGTTTCTTATTTTCATGGAGAGGATTTATTCTTACTTTGCTCCCGTCATTCTGATTTGGATTTTTTTCATCTATTCTTTTGTATTCATTTTTAGGCCCACATTTGAGTATGAATATTTTTTAAATGGAGAATATTATTCTGAAAAAATTCAAATTTATTTTGTTGTCTTGCCTCGTAGACGTCTGTCGTGTGATATTTGTTTGTTGTGTTTATTATTGGGTTACAAATAATTATTTGCTATTAAACATCATATTTTATCTTTCTGTTATACTACTTTCATTTATTTGGTCCATATTTTTAATTTGTAGTTACTTTGCACTTTTTAACCTTTTAATTTTATTCTGACCTTTGACTTAGTTTACTTTTGTTTCATTTGGTAGTTAATCATTTCAATTAAACTCAGCATGAACCTGTTCAGGTCTAATACAGTGCTTAGTACTGTTTATTTAAAAGTTATCCTTTTCCGAATTTAAATATTTATTACGATATTTTTGCCCTGCACCAATAATATCAATTAATTTTATTTTTATTGTTTGCGTGGCAAGTATCTGGAGAAAATTTAACTAAATTCAGTAGTTTACTCGAAGTTTTGGGTCGTAAAAGATTTATGTATGATTGGTTAAGCTTTTATTGTATCGCGTTTTTTTTTTCATTTTTCGAAAGTTATAATTAAGTGGAAATAAATTGCTAATAACGTAATGAAAAACTTTAGACTGACGAGCAGCAAAGTTATGAATAAGAGTGATAACGAGTTAAGTAGGAAGACAGCTGACGCTGGAAACTTCTCGGGACAAGATGAAGTGGAAAAGTTCGATGAATGCCCAGTGTGTTATCAAGAGTTTACATATCGTACGAGATTGCCTGATTGTGGACATGAATTTTGTTTTTTATGTATCAAAGGTTTGTTTTGTGAGCATACTTTATTTGATAGAATTAAAAATGATATTAGAAATATTTGCAGATGATGTGTTTCTGTGCATCGTGAAAAACAGTTGAATCGACGGAATAATCGCATTACTTTTTCTGAATAAATTATCATTCAGATACTCTGACCGTAAACTTTGACAAATTTTTGTTTTCTGGAAGTAAATGACTTTGTTGCATTCACTTTTTTGCATTATAAAAATAATAATTAAGCTTGAAAAAAAAATATTTGCTTTGGAAATTTTAGGCGTTGCTTTAAGAAATGGTTCGTGCCCTTTATGTCGTAAGTCTATTCCACGCTCGTTATTTCTTGATCCAGTGCTTCGAAGGAGTACCGATCAAGTTTGTTTTATCTGTTCCATAACACTTGTTCAAAATAAAGTTTTTCATAATTAAATGAAGATTAAATATGAATTTGATAAGCTTTTTTTAGGCAGGAATACACAGATCTATGAACGCTTTACAGTTATCAGATGGTGATCAAGATAATACTGACACTAGGGCTGTGGAAGAATTTCAGTGGTTTTATAAGGTGAGTTTGTTTCTGTTATAGCATACTTCACATATCAAGCACTCAATATATCCTATGGTAGCTCAGTTTTGTTTTTTTTCTCTCAAACTTTTACTCAAAATAATAAAATATTTAACAAGGCTCGGTATGAAGGATGGTGGCGTTATGAGCCTCGCCACGAAAGTGAAATTGAAAAAGCTTATCAGAGTGGCTTGCATAGCATTGATCTGCTTATTGCTGGTAGCTTATATTCCATCAATTTCGATAGTATGTGTCAGTATAAAAAAAATCTTGACAGGTATTTTTATATCTTTCTTTGAGGCTTTTTTTATAAGAGTTTTTAAATAGGAGTTGTTTTGGTAAGCTGCAGTTTATAATATTTCAGTTCATTATAGCAAATATTGGCAAAAGTTTTCAACTAGTTATATGATATATGAAAATTTAGGAAACCTTCCCAGTAAAAATTACCACTATATATGTGCAGCTTTGGTTACATTGCTAGAAATTTTTCTGCATTTTGAAACTACTACTGTTTGCAGTGTGAGGTTTAGTCGTGAAATAAAGCGTATAGAAAAGGGAGAGACTCCCCTGGATGGTGTGGTGCATGGGATAGCTGGATTGCGAACGCCTACCGAACAGGACCCAAGTGGTTCGTGAAATCTTGAAGTTAGTGCTCGAGCAATAGGAATCATGGATTTTTAGCAAAATTAAATATTTATACTGCTGCCTTTAGTTAACTGGGGAAAGAAAAGTTCAAAAAATTACAATATGAAATATAAGAATTCAAAAGTATTTAGTAGATACCAAAATACAGCGATAAAATTGTTAAAGCAGAAGACCTATTTTCATGTTGCAATTGTGTAGCACCAAAGAAAAGTATTGTAATATAATTTTTCATTTTCTCTGCATTTTCGTTCTGATCCTTATATGGGTAAATTAAATTACGCCAAAGCTGAATTAGTTGTTGATATAAATAATTATTGTCACTGTTTTTTGTTTTGCCGTTATTCTCTATTTGTATTGATTCGCATGTATGAAATATTTGTTTTCATTTTTGAAAAGGAAGCAAATCTTACATGTTTATTAGGTGAAGCTGTGAAATGTGGTAGGTGTTTTGTCATGAGCTGAATGAAAGTTTCATAGAAAGGTAGATTATTTTGTTTTTAATTCGCTTATTGAAATGACTTGTTTATATTTACGATAAGATTTCCGTGTTTTTCAGTTTCTCTATAAAATAAGAAGCTAAAATTTATTTTTGATAGTGAGGAAAAGTTGTTAATAAACTTTGTAATTGGAAAATTTTTAAACCTTAAAAATTTGACTGAAAAAGGTAAGCATAAGTATTTAGATTGCTATTTCGTCTTGTAAAACATTTTGGCACCCTATGCTTACGATTAATTATTTTGTCTATTTAGTTTGTATTCATTTTAAAAAAATTTATTTTTTTTGTTAGTTTAATTTTGTATTGGACATTGAAAACGAGTAGAGTTCATTAGTCTGTTGCTAACATGTTCTAAAAGTTCTTCCGTGTAAGATTCCTTGATCTTTAGCGTTATTGAGTAATATGTATAAAAATTAAGTGCTCAGTATGTGGCACAAAATCCTATCACATCAGGTGTCCTGGAAGTCCCACTGGACGAAAATCTACATGACGTGAAATAATTATTGTAGTACAGATCTGGATGTCCATTGTTATAAGGGCCTTGCCCCCGAAATCTTTTTCACATGTAAATCCTGCTGTGAATTATTGTCTAGAAATGAACCATAATTAAGCTCACAGTAAAATGTATGTACTAGGTGAAAATTATTCTCCAAACCTGATGGTTGTGTTGGTTCCGACTGACTCTCCGCTCCATCTCCAGCATGCCCACGGGGTCCAGTCTGTACCACAGATTGGAATTCAGTCTAAAATGCGAGAAGCTTAAGTTTGAGGGAAACTGTCTGCTTCTGTTTAGATTAAAAAAAAGAGTTGGTACTAACCTTCAAGTGAATTTATTTTTGTTGGCACCTGACGGGGGCTGTCAGGTTTGTAGATTACTTTTATGATCTCCCAATAATTCATTTACACCGACTACTCCTTGAACTTTCAGAGCACCTAATACTTCAGCATATTTAACAGTGCTATGTCATTGTATGATAGTTTGTTTGTTTGGGATTTCTAACACGAGCTTTTGAGTCTTTTAATTTGTAATTTGCTAAGAATTGCAGGAGTAGTAATCGATTACAAATTGTGGTTGGCTTCCAAACCTGATGATTCTGAGGACCGTAGTGCGCATATTGCACATGAAGAAAGAGCTGAAGCATAAAATGATTCTCAAAATGATATTGTTTTTTCATTAATCATCGAGTATTAAACCTTAAGATAAATGAATGCAAGAACTTTGCTTTTTCTGAAAATTTCCTTGCCTGCTAGAAATTCCGGGTGATGCTGGCATAGAAGAACTCTGATAATTTGAGAATGTAACTCAAAATGCTGATTGATCATTTTTAATTTCTCCAATTTTTTCCCAAGGAATCATAATATTTTAAATCGAAGAATTATTTTCGTATCTTGACTAGACTTCTTTTGCCTGGTTTTCCTGGTTCTTCTGATGGTTCTTCGTATGTACCAAAAGACCATCAAGACTGCAGTTTTTTTCATTTTTCTTAATTATTTTTGTACTATCAAATAAGATTAGGCTTATGTAATAAAGACAAAACATATAAAAATATCCTTATAAATAGTAGAATAAAATGATGATAATCATGATAAATTAAATAATATAATGTATCACAGTAAATTTTATTCAAATTATCAACATAAATTTGTATGCTTATTTAAACTTTTCATCTTAGTTCCATCAAAAAACAAAAAAAATTATCCTTTTTTGCTATATATGTGAGGTTAAAATAGTATCATATAAAATTTATATTGAATTTATATTGATAAAACTAAGATGAAAAGCATAAATAAGCATACCCCTAGGGAAGGAATTTGTAGTCGCAAATTATTTTGGAGGGAATAGTGGCGTATCGTTTACTTTGATTTTAATTACCATTTTCATTATCATAACGTAATAATTTCAAAGATAAATTATGAAAATAATGCTTTTGCTTGACCTTATCATCTCCTGCCAAACAAAAATGAAAGTTGAAAATTTTGTTAACTTTACAAATCTAAGAAATAATTGCCAAAATATTATTTTGCATATTACAACCTTTCTCAATTTAATAAGTAATGCTCTTAATTATATAATATAAACCATCAGTGTTACTATATTTAAATAATTGTCAAAATATTCTATAAGTTAATTTTTTACTAAAATATGGTAATATTCAGAAATGAATAAAATAAGCAATTTTATGCCCAATATTGCTAATAAAATTATTGCAAACATCATAGCGAAAGAATTTCGTGAGAAAATACGTTTATCACGCTGATTTGCATATTTACTTTCCGTTTCTATCAAGAATCGTCAAATGCTCTTAAATTCCGCTTACTTTTTAATACTTTACATATATATCAAACATAACGCCAATTTTAATCTTTTAATAATCTTGCCAAATTTATCTCGCAGTTTTGTAATTAGAATAAACTGTTAATTATATATAATTTACTGCTTACTTAATTGATTGACTAATACTTAACTAATTACTTAATTGTTTCATATGAATAAATGAGTGAAAAATTTTTTTTAAATGTCCTGTAGTATTTGTATTGAAAGGGACAAAAAATTCAAGTAAAACAGCTTTGTATTAAAAAAACTTATCTAAATTTCAGATTATGAATGTATTGAGAGTGAAATTTTGCTTATAAAAAGTATTTATAGCAAACATTTTGTGACACATTTTTTTACAATATTACATAAATCAAATATTAAAAAACTTTTTTATAAACAATCTCATACTTAACTAATTGCTTAATTGATAATAATTTTAAGTGTGTCTAATTATGATATAAAATATGGTTAAGTCAATAATATCAAGAATATGTTATAAATAATAGGGCCGATCGATTTTGATTTAAAAATTCAGATTTAGCATCATCATAAAAAAAAACAGAATACATTGCAATACATCATGAATCGCAATCTTATCGTAATCCTTTTTCTGCGCAAAATTCATTTTTGGCCCGAATAAATTCAAAAAAAATTCTTATATATATATATTGCGATTGAAATTATTTTTCATTTTTATCTTTTGAAGAGTAAATATTAATTAACTTTGCTAATATAATTTTGTAAAAATTTTGCCAAATTTATGGCTTAGTGTTAGTTGAGGAAGTTTGCAATGTAATATTTGATTTAATAAAACTTCCATATGATAATATTACTGCTTCATTTGCTTAATTTCTTATTTTCAAAGCATAAAATTTGATTTGAAAGTAATATTAACAGTTAATGGATGCCAAATCAGATAGATAACATAGCAAAATTATACAAATTATTTCGAATAATTCTGCAAAAGAATTATTTTGAGTGTTATAACAGTTCTTTTCTTGTTTAACACTTTTTAAATATTATAATTTTTTGTTTTCAATGAGTAGTAATTTTTTTAATGCTTTTAAAAGAGTTATGATTGTTCAAGTAACTGTTGTAGTGAATTTCACGTAGTGAAAATTATTTATTTCTTAAGTTTTTGAATTTTTTTCTCAAATTTATTGCAATTTTTAGTTATCATTTTTTGATTTGATGAATAATAATAACGGATTATAGCTGAATATCAGAATTGCTGTTTCAAGTATTGTTCGTAACAATTCTTAAATTGCATTTTATGATTTTAAGTTCATTTGTATAAGAGAGAATTAATTCTTTTGCATATCAACGAAATTCGATGTTTTTTCAAAATAATAACAGTACATTTTTAATAAACTTGCCAACATTTTGCTCAAAAATTTAAAAAACTTTACCAGAACAGTTTGAAATCATAATTTAAAAAAACCACAAACTTGAATGAAGAATGATATTCTCATGCAATTATTAATAAATCTAATAATTTTTATCATTTTAATACCAAAACTTTTTGCTTAAAACTGAATAAATAGATATTTTTAACATGTACTTAGACAAGACTATATATGTCAAATTAAAAGTTTATAAAATAAATTAATACATTAAAAATTTGTAAAATTTTCATAGTAAAAGATTTTTGACAAATATTTGAATATAAATAATATGGATACTTTCACAATTGAAAGATTAATGCATCATTTGGCAAAACAAATTTATACAAATTATTATGCTTACTGACTTTCTTTACGCAAGAAGTAAGATCTGATGATCTATTCACTTTGTTACCATATTGATAATCGACTTAATAAGTGAAAATCACGTAATAAAAAGACAACAACTTGCTTCACAATTTCACATTTAGCAATCAAACACTGCAATTTTTTTAAAAGTTTTTATTTTAAAATGTGTAAAATTAATTGTAAATAATTATGCAACATTTTGATTACTTTAGTTAGTTAACGAGAACATTAAGTTATAAACAATTATTGTTATTGCATTGTAATTTCTTCCAAACAAACGACAACAACCATACTAATTAGAAACAAATTCGCAGTATTGTGTGCTAGAAATATATTCTGAAAATGGGAAACCCATAATGAGCAATATTTATTGTTAAACTGTCATTGCTAGCAATAATTTAGTGAATTCACATTTGTTTCACATAATTAACCTTTGAAGAATTATTAGGTTCCCAAAATCGTTTGCTTAATGTAAGCTATTTACTATTAATATAATATTTTAATTAATTTTAAGTCTTCCTTAACAAATTGCTAGTTTCTTTTACTGTTAGTTTTCTTGTTAGGTAAGCTTATTAGCGTTAAATGACTGTATGCTTAATTTTTTTTTGAAAGGATACATTTCGAGCAAACGGTTTTATTTTACTTTCGTCGCCTTTTAATAAGTTATGAATATATTACATTTATTAATAATTGAGAATATTATTCAAATACTGCCTCACTACCTTGTCTCTTTACGAGGTTTCAAATATTAAATTAATTTACTTATATTTTAAATAAATTTACAGCAATGTCATCAAAATTACTCTTCGGAATAGTATTTACTAGTGTCACATTTCTGACATTGGTCTCAGTATTTGCCATAGTCATTGTACTTAATGATATCCGTGTATTGTACAATGATATTTTAGTAGGAATGGATGATTTTAAGGTATTGTTTCAATATTTCGTACTCATTTGCAACAATTATTATGCATATTTTTTACTAATTTTATTAGAAACATAAAAAGTTAGTATAAGTTGAAAAAAAATTGTATATTATACTGTAATGATTTTTTATTTGATTATAATATGAGTAAAAAATTTGAATAATTTACTACTTTCATGGAAGTTGAGTGAATAAAAATAATAATATACAGACCCTTGCTGATGAAACATGGCGCGAAATAATATACGAAATTAATGACTTAAGTAATGATAAAGAAAATTCTTCACGATTATTCAGTTTTTCAATCTCTCGACTGAAACGACAAAATGAGCAATGCAGTAAGTGAATTTTGCTCATGAAAAAAAATAAA